GAGTGTGTAAAAGGGTTTTTTTCAGGTAACGTGGTTGTTTTTGCTCCCAACCTAGTTCTGACTGCTCCACAAACAAGCCTGGTTGCTGTCAGATGCGCTTCTAAGAAAACTGGGGGCAGCTCAAAAAATCTAGGTGGTCGCAGTCCTGGGAAGCGCTATGGATTCAAAAAAGTAGAAGGTAGGTCTGAGTATCTGCTGAGGCTTAATTTGTGTTTCATTCGGTACTTCACAGCTCCTCCCCGTGCTGGTGTTAATTGTTGAGCTCTTCAGTCAGAGGTGGCCAAGGCACAAGGCACTCTGCCAAGAGAAAGGAAAGGGGAGGTTCAGCAAAACCTGGTGCTCAGGGGTAGCCGGTGGGAGGGCAGGGTGAGTCAGCCTCCCCCACGATGAGCTGCCCATCAGCCAGCCAAAATTACCCACAGAAAATGTACTTTGATTCTAACTTTGCCTCTCTGGAGTGCCTGGGAGGAGGGAACGCTGTGGGACCCCTGCGCACTTCCCCCACCACGCTGTGTTTGAAAGCTGGGCGTTTCGGATGTTTACAAAGGGGAGAATTATGAGGTTTAGCAGAAGTCAAAGTACAGATTCTTGCAGCTGAGTGCTTAATAATTATTAGCTTTGCTGATGAAAATATATCGATGTGAAAAGGTAATAAAACAAATGCCTTCAGCAACCAGAAAATGCCTCGTATCCTAGAAGTAATCTGTCAAACACCAGAATCGCCTTTTGCTATTGCATTTCAATTGCCCTTTATTTCATGCTAACGGCATTTTTGTTTAGATGCTTTTAGCATTTGAAATAATTTTTCCTTAGAAAATTCCCACAGAAAGCTGAGTTTTATTAAGTCCTGGAACCATTTGTGTTCTGCCAGGGCTTTGGGGAGCTCCATCTCTCTGCAGCCTCACTCTGTCACTCTGTTGCAGGTGCCTTTGTCCACGCAGGCAACATTTTGGCTACTCAGCGGTTGATACGTTGGCATCCAGGGGCTCACGTAAGTTGCTTTTTCATCTTTTCTGTGTTCTCAGATAACAGCAGCCTACAACAGAGTCCTGTTCTCAGTGCCTCTTTCAAGCTATTTTTTTCCCCTATATTCTATATAATCCTGAAAGTGGGTATTGTTACCTGGTATTTCTTAGTCACAGAGCCTGTTCAGTCACACCTGTGCCCGTGTGACTCTGGAAAGGACATGTTTTGGGATATCCTGGATATCCCAAAACACTTCTGTAACCTCACTGGATTCTTGTGCTTCAGGGTGGAATGGGTATCTCCTCCCTTGTAATGAGCACCGTGGCGTACTGATTGCTGGAAGTTGTGTGGTTTTCTTTTATTTTAAAAGACAAAGCAACAGATGCTGTTGAAGCCAGGATATCAAACAAGGCAGACCAGCAATCAGATCTGCTTTAGTGGTGGACCTCCAGCCTTTCCTTTCTAACACTTCTCATCCTCTTCCAGGTGGGGATGGGCCGGAACAAGACACTCTATGCCCTGGAGGACGGGATCGTAAGATACACCAAAGAGGTTTACGTCCCTCTGCCCCGCAGCAGTGAGAGCAGGGAAGTGATCTGTCGTCTACCCAAAGGAGCAATTCTTTACAAAACCTTTATCAGTGTCATCCCTACCGCAGAAGTAGGAAGCTTTAAACTGGTCACCATGCTCTGAGCCTCCTGCGTCATGTAGGGACGGATGGGAAGGAGCAGCTGGGACAAACCACTCCAGCTGGACTGGCATCTGAGGACAGGAGCATTCTAGCTCTGAAGATACCAGTTGAGGACTTTGCTTTCTTGCTCCCAAAGCACATGTCAGTGCTCAGGCACTGGGATCACCTGCTGGTGTTTGTACGAGTGTATTAAATGCTGTGGGGGCTGCTGAAGATCTTGGCTGTTCATAGCATGTTCCTTACCTTCCTTTAGTATCTGGAGCTGCCTCTGGAAAACCTGTTCCCTGCAGTCACTCATAAGAGTGACAAGTCAGTACTTGTCCCACTAGTAATTCCCTGTGTAACTTTACTCATTTTCAGATATTACTGTTATATTTGTGTCTTAATTCAAAATACTGCAGAAGAGGACAAATCCTTTTCCACTTGCACCTAACTCTGCATCCCAGGAAGCTACATTTTTCCTTCTGTCTAACTCACCTCAATGATTAACTTAAATACCTGAAAGTGTTCCATTTACTAGCCATGTGAGGCAAGTTCACACTCATAAAGCTAACTTGTGACTAATTTTAGAGTGCCTGGTAAGATGCACAAGTCTGGGGTGGTATTTGAAGCTCAGCAGCTGCAGCTGTATCATAAAACCATAATCCAGAAGATTTATCCTTTTGTTTTCCCCGAGTCACTCAGTGATATTTTCAAGTTTATGTTGCTTGAAATAAAGGAATTCAAATGTCCTATGGCCACACTGGCCTCATTTTATCTACAGGTTTGTAAACAATTGTCTCTGCAGTAGAAAACAAGTTATCAAAATTGGTGGTATAAGGACACCAGTGTTGACATTATTAGATTGTCTGCTCTGCAGAAAAAGACGAGGTAAACTGGATTAGCCACACATCCCCCTTCGCTTCACGCTCTTCATGGAGACCACCAGGTATTCTGTCCACGTTTCTGTCTGTTCCCAGCTTGTGTATCACACAGTTCATCTTGGTGGTTGGTATTTGCACACAGCAGGTGACACAACCCCCGGAGCCTCTCCAGATCTTTATCTGAAGTCCATACAAAATCGCTGTCGGTCACAGAGGAGCATTGCTGTGGGAGCACACAGCCACACTGACACAGAGTCATCCTGCCGCTCATGGGTGAGGATTCCCACCTGGTATCTGATACCCTGATAAAGTAAAACATTCTATAACCTAAGAAATAAGTGAAGTAGCACAAGATGACCACTGAGGGTCTGGTCCTTGGCACACCAGGCAGCGCTTGCCTCACAGAGGCATGGTAACACCAGCTGCCTGGAGGAGCTCTGGCTGAGCAAACCTTCCCTTTCACAGAATCACAGAATGTTAGGGATTGGAAGGGACTTCGAAAGATCATCTAATCTTTGGCTTCTTGTCCTCTGTAGAAGCCGTTCCATCGCCTTTGGTAGCAGCACGTTTCCCAGAGAATAGTGAGCAGATGTCCCTGGTTGCTCCGTTCAGAGCGCGATACCTGCAGTGGCTCTGTGGTTGTCCCAGTGGTTGCCCTCTGACTTGCCTGCATCTCAGCTGATGGTGAGTCTGGGTGGAGGGCTGAGGTTTGTACGCAGGGAATGATGTGACAGGCACGCCTGTCGCTCACACCGCGGGAAGAAGCAGTACGCGCGGGCTGAGGCCTTACACGGCTGTGTTTCGCTGAGTTTGGTAGCTGAGAGGGGCCTGGAAAGGGTCTGGCACACCACGTCTGGCCAGGGTCTCTGAGCTTGTTACTGTTCCTGAGAAAGCTGGAGGATGCCTCAGAGCATGCTCATAGGGAGGTGGCATCTGTTGAGGAGAGGTTTTTTGCTGATCAGAAATAATCAGGAGATTATCCCACCTCCTTTTACAGAGCAGATGACAAAGCTCTCAACCACCACCAGCCTGAAACTAAATTCTCGCAGTGCTCAGAGCAGCGAGCTGCTGGCGAGATGAACACCTGGAAGATCAGCACTTAGTGCTCCTTCGTGACATGGCAGGGCAGAAACCTGCTGGAGAGGCACATTCCCCCTGCTCCCCCCTCACACCCTCTGTGCCAGGTTCCTTCTCATCCCTGTCCCCATTCAAGGACTTGTCACAAGGCCAGAACAGACTTGACTTTTTGTTTTAACAGGACAACTGTTCACTTTCCTTTGACCAAGGATCAGTTACTGGGATTTTATACGTGCACCTTCAAAACAGGCTTTGTACCCAGGTTTTCATAGTGAGTTTCACTGCACAGCCAGAGAGGAACCTCTGGGCTGTCGTTAACATTGATTTTGGCAGAGCTGGGCAAGCTTTGTCCCCATAGCGAGTGACAGGAGTGGCACGGGGATGTTGTGGAAAAGCTCCCACTTCGGTTTCTCAGCTACTCATCTTGGGGGCTTTAGTCTCCTGTGCCCTCAGTGCCCTGGTTTCAGGGCAGATATCATTAGTTACAGCAACAAACACCAAGCAGCAAGTGCTGACTGTGCCAGATTTTACAGTGAAGCTTTAAGAGCTCAAAATCCGGGTAAATCGCTGAACCTTTAGTGCTCTACTTGGGGTTTCAAAGGGGTTTGTTCTACTTTTAGTCAATGAGGGCTCTTTGTTCAACAGGAGTCTCTTGGGATGCTGCCACAGGACCTACTTAGCAGATGCGTTCACATTTCTCTGTTCTATTGCAGGAGTGCAAATCTTAAATGTCATAACAGGCAAAGCCTCCTGCTCATAAATAAGCCATAAACGCTTCAGGGTAATAACGAGGGGCCTCCCAGAGGTGTCCTGCGGGGAGAAGAGGGCAAAAAACCATGGAAGCCTTACAGATCTAAAAATAACATTCCCAGCTTGGACTCGTACCAAGCAGATGATCCGAAGGGCCTGCCCTTTCATCAGCAACTCTGCCCTTCCTCCCAGCACAGGCATTTCTGCAAGCGCACAGGGAGAGATGGATCATTAACCAGCACAGATGTACACCAAAGCAGCCTCCCGGTACACTCTGTGCCTTTCCGAGCGATAACGGCTATCAGAGAAAGGCAATTGTGGAGAACAGAGTCCTCGGCTACTGCAAACTGCTGAAGCAAGAGCCCGATATGGATGGGAGTGGGGACTGTCCCCAAGCCTCTGCCAGCACCCTCGTGCAGGGGAGGGAAAGTTCACCTCCTGGGAAGGCTCTGCCCACAGCCCAAACCTCTCGGCGATCAGCTGATGGATTTCCCGCTGACGATCTTTCTTCCGCACGCTCTCGTAGCTTGGCAAGCGGGGCTGTTCCCAGGAAGGGAGCTGGTAACTGCTGGGGGGTCCGATGCAGAAGAGACCATCTCCCTAGAAATGCCCAGGAGAAAAAGGTCAGCGCAGTGGTGGCTCTCTCAGCTGGAAGTTCATGGCCTGGTGCAACCTCGAGTTACTTCAGGGTTCAAAGTTGTGGGTGCCCTTCTTTGAACCCTGAGAGAGGGAATTCTCCCTCCTGGGAGGTAATTGTACCACAACCTGCGTTTGCAATTCCCAAGCCCCACGGGATCTGCCTGGCACTTCATACCCAAACACCTCAGGGCATTTCCTCTGCGGTATTCCTGCCCCCCTATGCATTGTCACATACCAAGAGCACTTCCCAAAGTTGCTCCTGCTGCCCAGCACCTTCTCCCTAAGCCCCAGAAGCTCTCTAGCTTCCCCATGACCACCATCTCTTCCCAAAATTATCCGGATCTTTGCTACCATTTCCCCCCCAGCTCTCATCAGGGACCCAGCCGTCACCTGCACGCCGGGGTTCTCGGCAGCGCTCTCCAGCCGTGACACTCCGCACTGGGGACCCCCCAGCCGCTGGCTGCTGCTGCTGAAGTAGGGTGGGGGACAGTCCTGCAATGAGGGGTCAGGGAGGAGGACGTGAGCAAAGCCAAAATCCCTCACATCCCACCCGGCAGCGAGCGGAGCTCAGCCAGCTCACACAGGACAGCCTGGGAAGCGGGACTCTGGGCAGGGGGCAGAGCCGTTACCTCTGCCCGTTTGTGGCTCATGCAGCTCTCGCTGCTGGCAGCCAACTCTGCCGGACTGTTTGCCAACACCCACAGCTCCAGCACATCCTCACCGGGCAGCGCAGGGCTCCAGCCAGCCGGCACCGCTACGCAGCGCAGCCGGATTTCATTCAGACTCAGCAGAACCATCCCTCTTTGGGGGACAATAAAAAACGAACCCGCTATTCCGCTGGTGTCGATAAGAGCTCTGTCACGTGCTCAGGGTTACAGAATTTGTAAACCTCGGCTTATCTGCCAAGGTAGTAACTTCAGGATAACGTAGTAAGCAAATCTGCCTGTTCTGTTCCTGAGCAGCCTCGCTCCGGTTAAACTCGATTCCCTCTCAAGGTGTTGAGCAACAGCAGAGATCCCTCGCGCAGAGAGCAGCCCCTCCAGCCAGAGCCAGGACTGGAGCCGTGGGCTGTTCCTCACTCTCAGAAAAGCCCCATCTCCACCAGCAGAAAACTGTCCAGAGACTCCCAGAGCAGCCAGGGATTCGCAGGGAGAACCAGGAATGATACATTGGCTTTTAACAACCGAGGAACCGTTTGTCTCAGCCCGGCAGCACAATTAATTACAGAAGCCACAGGAAACTGGGCTGGCTGGGGGTGCGGCTGTTTGCTTTAATAACTGATCAGCAAAACCAGCACAACTCCACCTGCTCGAAAGCTGCCTCACACCACTACAACCGCTTCACTTTTTCTGATGGAAATACATCCTATATACATTCCCTTTCCATATATAGTTCTTCACATCCACATCCATCTGCCCATAAAGCCCTAAAGGCAAGATGCCTTCTCCTTTGACCACTCACCCAAGAGCCAGGCCCAAGCACGGCGTAGGCTCTGCAGCTCACAGCACATCCCACACAGCCTCAGGGAGCAGCTCTGCAGGGTGAGGAGTGCCCCAGCCCCCTCCTCGACGTGTGCCGTGGACAGGGAGCAGGGAGGAAGAGGAGGAAGAGGAGGGAAGGAGCAGAGGCTGCGAAGCCAGCAGAGGACACCAGCGATGCAGCCCATTCCCACTGTGATCTCTGCTGGGGACTTCCCAGCCTGTGCTGGGCCATTAAATTTGTCTTTCATGGCACAAGTTTCATGGCACAATCCCCTGGTAGCCAAGGCTGGATGTCCCCTCTTCTCCCAGGGTCTCTGCTGTGGTACACGCAGCCCCTCCCCTGAACAC